AGCTGCACCCGAGCACCCCGCCCCCCCATGTGCTCTCCGGGGGGCGGCAGGGACGGCTCCTATTGGCCCTGCTTTCCCCAGGCGCCCGCTGATTGGCTGCTCCGATCACGTGCTCCGCCCCTTTCGGGTGAGAATGTAACGACTTGTAGCAAAGTTTGCTACAAAGTTGCCCGGAGGTTCCGGGACCCCAGACCCCCCCGCCGCCGCCGGGACTCGTGCCCCCGCCGCCGGGATCCAGGGCCCTCGGGCGCGCCCGTCAGGTGAGTCTGGGGCAGGGACGGAGTCGCGGGGCGTCGTTCCCCGCCGACCCGTGGGTCTCCCCGGGGGCTCCGGTCCCGCCCCGCGGGGAGAGCAAGCGGATGGTCCCGGGAGTGCCGCCGGGCGGGCCGGGGCCGGTCGCCGCAGGCTGGAACCCGCTGCAGTCGCTGTCTCCTATTATGGCAGCGCTGGGGCTCCGCCGGCGCGTCGCCAGGGCCCCCCCCCCGGAGCAGCGCCTCCGCCGCTTCCTTCCTGCGGGGCCCCGGAGGGGCGGCTCGGCCACCTGCTGCGGGGCATTAAACGCCGCTAAAAATACCCGCGGGCGTCACTGTCCGGGCGGCAGCTGCGGGGGGACGGCCCGCGTCCTTGGCATTTGCTGCCTGTCGCCGCTGCCGGCAGCTTCCCGCCCGGGGGGGCTCTAGGGGCAAACTGAGGCACGGCGGCGGGGAGGGACTCGGGCAGGGTGAGAGCCTGGCCCGGGCAGAGGGGGCCGGGACGCCTGGTGCAACCCCTGGGCCATGCTCCCACCCCAGCCCCTTCCCCCTCTCTCCTATCTGATCTCATCTGGTTGCCGTGGTAACCCCTGTGATGTCAGGATGTGGGTTCTGTGACATCACTGCAGGAAGCCTGCAGCTCTGGTCTGGGAGGGAGCAGGGTTGAATCGGGGTTCCTGTATGGGCCGGCAGGGGGAGCCAGGCTGCAGCCAGCCCCGAGCAGGGAAACAGGACCTGCCCGGCAAGTTACAGGCAGGCCCAGGTGCTGGGGCTGGGGCTGCCATGGCAGTTGTGCGGGGAATGTGCGCAATCTGGGGCAGCTGCCAGCCCGGGCACCCGCTGCCCCCACGTTCCAGGCTCCACATCTCTCGGGAACCAGGATACTAGGCCCCTCCAGGGGCAGCTGATTCCCAACCTGGAGCCTGGCTCGGTGCCCTCTGCCCCACCCCAGGCTGGCAGGGTCCTATTCACAGCTCTGGGGCATGGGTGGGGGCAGTGGCTGGGACTCTGCTCCACTGTGCCTGGGTGAAGGGCCCTTTGTCTCCATTTGCAAATTCTCTTTGCAAGTCAAATTAGCCCCGGCAAGGCGGTTCTGGGGCCTGGAGCCCTTGGTGCACGCATTTGGACATCTCCACACCCCCTTGCAGTGCTGTGGGGCCAGGAGGGCTGGGATTGCCCTGATGCTCCATGTTCCCTGCAGGTGGGATCCAGCCCAGCCGGGCAGGAGCAGCAATGGCCAAGAAAGCTGACGTGCGGGACTCGGACAACAGCTGGGTGATTGCTGGCTCTGAGGTGGGGGGCAACATGTGCAGGGCGGGGCTGGGGTCCTGGCACCCACACTTGCTGCCCAGGGCTCTGCCAGCAGGGTGCTGCCCAGGCTAGGGGCAGGAACAGGTGTGTGCAGAGATAACACTTGCATGACCTATCCCCCCTTTCCCCAGGGTTTGCCTGTGGAAACTCTGGGCCCAGAGGAGGGGGAGCTGCCCCAGGCTGCAGCAGAGGAGCCGGTGGGAGACACCCTTGAGGTGGAGGATGAAGCCCAGGACACGCTCCCAGGCACGTGAAGGTTCCTAGACCAGCCCAGCTCCCCACACTGTCCAGCACCCTGACCCCAGTGCTCCCCACTCTGTCCCCTTCAGGCTGCAGGGCAGGGGAGGGGGCTCTCGCAGGCTTTGAGCTGCTGCACCAGCAGCCCAAGTCCCTGGCCCAGCAGAGCCCTCCCCCACTCCAGCTGAGACTTGATGCTCTTGTCTCTCCATAGCATCTGCCCACAGGGGCAAGAAAGACGAGGCCTCCCTGCTAAGTTCGGCTGCTGGCCGGGAGGAGGCTGAATTCAAGGTAAAGGTTTGGGGGTGCCCAGGGATCAGATGGGAGGTGGTGCAGAGCTTGCGGCGGCGCAGGGATGGGGCCCTGCCACATCCTGGAGATGCTCAAGCACAAGTCCTGGCACTGCCTGTTCCCAGGACTCTGAGGAGCACTTGACGCTTAGCCCCAAGGGTGGCTCTGATGCAGCAGCCCACCCTGACGAGCTGCTGGACATCCACAAGCCTGAGGAGCCAGACTCCCAGGACGCTGGACTGGACTCTGGTGCTGGAGTCCTGGGCTCCTCACTCACAGGCAGAGCAGGTGGGTCCAGCCTCGCCAGCAACTTAGCCTCCCCTCCCCACCCTGCCAAGCCCCACACTGACTTGGCACCAGCTGAACCTGGCTGGGGAGCCATGGGGCATGTTGAACACTGCATCCCACCCTCTGCATGGACTCTGGGGGCACCTAGTCCCTGCTGGGTGGGGAGGGGGAACCCTGTGCCCATCTGTGGCCCTGTCCATGGGGGCACTTCTAGGGGTCCTGCTCCAGGGCCTGTTCTGAGCAGAGTCCCCATATCTGCCCAGGGGCACTGGCAGAGGAGGGCAGTGGCTCCAGCAGCAATGAGGACCAGGATGTGGAGGGGCTGCGGCGGCGGAAGGGGCGGGATGTGCCCCCTGCTCCTGAGAGGCCTGCGCCACACAGAGTGCTAGAGGCTGAAGGTGCCGAGGGGGGCTTGGGCACAACTACTTACCTGCTGGGTGCACTGGCACTGCTGGCTGTGGGGCTGCTGGTCTTCTCAGGTGAGCAAGGGGTGCAGCAGGGGCAGCCAGGGTGGGCACAGGGGTCCACTTCTCCTTCATCCTCTGCTTTCTTTTCCCTAGGTGGTGTCTACGACCTGGGAGACAGTGAGTACTGGGCAGGGGCCTCTCTGCTGCCCCATTCAGAGAGGGGATGATTAGCACCGTTGTGCCTGCCTGGGGCGGGGGGCCGCATGGACATGCACCTGGGCATTAACCCCACTTGTTCCCTCTGCCAGGCCTTTCAGAGAGTGCAGGGGCTGGGGATGCCCCAGAGGGGGAGCAGCCATGGTCACCCCCACTGCCAGTCATCAGTATAAAGGTAAGTGTGTCAGTGTCCCTGAACCTGAGACCAGCTCTGCCCCCATGGCTAGGTAGTGGGGGCTCTGAGTCCTCAGCCTTGGGCTCAGGAGCCTTTCCCAGCCTGGCAGACCAGGGGCTGTACCCTGTGCTGCTGCAGGGCTTGGGCCTATCATGCTGGGGAGACTGAGGGACAGAGTGGGGCTGGGCCTGGCTGTGCAGGGGAGGGCTAGGCCAGGGACCCCAGTATCCTGGTTGCCACTGTGGTCACAGGCTGTGGCTTCCTCCCATCACCACAGGAGCAGTTGGAGCAGCCATCATCATCGCCATCCTCAGCTGGGGACCCACAGAGCCTGCAGGCCATGAGCCTGCTGCTGGACAAGCTGGCCAAGGAGAACCAGGATATCCGAGCCATGCAGGCAGTGCTGCAGGTGAGACAGGGCCCTGGGCTGGAGGGGGCAACTCCCTGCCCCTTGGTTCTCACTTGGCTCCCACACCCACAGGCACAGAAGGACGAGCTCCAGGCCCTGCTGGAGAAGAGCGAGACCGAGAAGGCGGTGGCTGGGTCCCCCACTCCCGGGCTGGCAGAGATGGCGCAGCTCCGGTCATCACTGCAGCAGGAGGAAGCTGTACGCCGTGCCGCTCAGGCCGAGCTGCTGCAGCTCCAGAGGCAGCTGGAGCAGGAGGCTGTGGCCAGGGGTGGGCAGCAGGAACCAGCCATGGAGCAACCCCAGGCCCCAGCCCCGGCTTCAGCGTCCTACAAGGAGCGGCTGCGCCAGGAGCTGAAAAAGCAGCGCGAGCTACTGGCCTCAGTGCAGCAGGACCTGATAGGTGCCCTGCAACGGGCCCAGGCCTCGGGGCAGCTGGAGCAGCTGCAGGCAGAGCTGGGCACCCTGGAACAGCGGCTGGCACAGGAGCTGCAGCAGTCAGAGAGCTGGGAGCAGGGCTGGGGTTCAGAGGAGGCTTCCGAGCCCTTACCCCAGCGCAGCAAAAAGCCATTCAAGGCTGAGCGGAAGGAGGGTCCGCGGCACAAGGCGAGGGGAGAACCACGGCCTGGCCGGCCCGGGGACAAAGTGGGCAGGGAGCCGAAGGAGCCAGGCAGACCCAAGCACCACAAGCCCCGCCACGAGCCCAAGCCAGGCAGGGACTGGGACAGCCCAGCACGGCGGGTGGGCAGCAGGAAGGTTCCCCCACATGGGCACCATGTGCCCCGTGCCTGGGAGCTACCCTCCCTGAGCCAGTACCAGGCACCCCAGGGCTGCTCAGGTGCAGCAGCTTGCGCCCGGCAGGAGGGGCTGGCACCTGTGCAGAAGGCAGGGTTCCTACAACTGCTGGAGGGGTTCATGGTGCAGCGAGGCTGGGGGCCACACTATGGGCGCCTGGCAGCACCGCTGGATGACGTCTTTGGCCCAGATGGCACCTTCGCCCACGACCGCCTGCGCTTCAGCGATTTTGCAGACCATGTAGAGGACCTGCTCGAGGTGCTGGCATGGCAGGAGCAGGGCAACGATGAGGCAGCCGATGACTTTGAGGAGTTTGTGCTGCAGCACTATGGGCTGGGGCCAAGGTGAGCCTAGGACCGGCACCGCGCAGGGGCTCCAGCCCCAGGTTTCAGCTGCCTGAGGGGCTTACTGCACAGAAGCCAGCATGGCAAGGGGCCCAGCTGGGGCAGAGCATGGGCACCTGGGTGGCATCGCCTGTGGCGGTGCTCAG